TTGCTCTTATCATCTTTAATGCTTAAATTAAATTACTAAACCATATGCTAACTTCCAGTCAGAAAATTTTCTTTCTGTGAACTAAACAAGAAAAAGGAATGGAAAAAGCAGAATGGAATAGAATGAAAGTGAAGGTATCCCTTCCTGACCATAGAAGGTACCCAAGGTAAAGACAGTTTATAAAAACTCTGTTCCTAAGGCAAGGAGTCACAGGCATTCCCAAAGAACCCTGGTGGCAATTATCCTTTTTGTTTGTTGAAAGTAGTATTGTTTTCCAAAGGGGATTTCAAAAGCATTACTAGATAGCAGGGGCATATGGAGTGAAGGGAGAGAAGGATTCTTTGTTCAGATGTATTGGGGGAACTGATAGATTATTAATAAAGTTAAACACTGCTGGGAAGGACTCTCAGAACATTTCATGTACAGATGTGCACATTCATCAAACTAGGTAATTAGTGTGCATCATGATTGGGTCAGGGGAGCATGGCTGAGCAGGGGTGCTTTAGAAACACTGTACAGTGGCAGGAAGGAAGCACTGGAAGATCTTCCCTGCTTCATCCACCTCTGAGATTGGCAGTTCATTCCCCACTGTGAGACTCATCCATAATGGAGGGAAATTTGTATCCCCATCTCTCTATATGTAGTGTGCCCAACAGAGTGCCCAGGAGACAGTCAAGTGCTCAAAGTGGGAGCTGTCACCCTCTTTCTTCTCCTGTCTTCTGTCTTTCCTTCTGCTTCTGTCTTTCATTACTATTTAAGTCAGTGCTTAGTCTATGTGTGGTCAAAGGAAGACCTGACAGTAACATTTCTCAAGATTAGGACCATTTTTATAGCACATCCCACCTTGTGGGTCTAGGCTTCAGATCCCTGTTTTCTATTCTGCTGGCATAAAGCATCCTCTCAGCAACTCTTGAGAAAATAGTAAGTAGTTCAGGGGCCACTCAAAACACCTAAATCCTCTGTGTTTAGCTCATTGCCTCGCTATGGTAAATATTCAGTTAATATGGATGAATAGATGAGTGGGTGGGTGGATGGATGGATGGATTGAGAACTAGCATTTTTTTTAGTATCTTTCATTTTTTATATTTTATATTTTATTTGCCTGGCTAACCCTTCCACTCATTCTGCAAGGTGGATATTTTTATAACTGATTACAGAACAGAAACGTCCGTTTTTAAGATGGGGCAGGACCTGGACAAGTTTATATGGCTGATAAATTCTAAAGCTGGTCTTCCAGGCTTTAGTCTTCTCACTTCAAATACATTAAACAACAGTCATCTTCCAGTATCCATTTTTAAGCACCCATAGTAAGACTCAAGGTTATGCAGCAATAAACCAGAAATGAACTTGAATCTACCTGATCGCAGTACTTCCTGTTGTCAAGATAGACATGTGTGCCCCAAGGGCTCTAGGAATCTTATTTCAGGAACCCCAGGCTTTCCTGAATCCTTCTGGAGCTACCACAGTCAGCTCTTTCCACAGCATATGCCTCTCCTTCCTCCCCAACTCTTGGCTGCTGGTGGCTTATTTTCTGGGTGGATTTGTGCCTGGCTCCGCACAGCAATGCTCCACCAGTCTAGAAATAAGACTGCAAAAGCACTGACCCTGGTTAGAACAAGTTTGGGCAGGTTATAAACCAACTTTCTCTACCCACTGCTTCACTTCCTAGTTTATACGGAGGTCAAGAGAGGCCCCCACAGAGTCTCTAATCAGAGGCTCTAACACAAAGGAAGTGGGTGAACTCATCATAAATCCCCAGCTGCTGCACCCTCCTCCTGGTGTTCTTCACTGGTGATGAGGCAGAATGCTCGATGGTTAAGAGCTCTCACCTGGGAGGGAAGCACATCCACACTCATCATTCTGCCACTTTCTACTGGTGTGACCTCAAGGAAATATGTCAGCCTCTCTGGGCCTCAGTTTCTTCATCTGTAAAATGAGGATAATGATAGCCCTTTTGTAGGTTTACAAAAAGAACTAATTGTAAAGAACACTTGTGTCACTCAATGCCTGGCCCAAAAGAAATACGCAGCCCATGGGAGCTGGGTCACACTTGGCTTCTCTCACTGTCAACAAGTTTCTCTAGAACTTGGTTTTTAAATGGCAAAAGGCATTTATTTTCCCTGTCTCCCCATCCTAAAGGTAGGAATTGATCCTATGTAGCATTTAAGGACACAAAACTACTGGTATAAAATCCTATGCAAATTACTTTTGTACTCCCCTCATTTGTAAAATTGAAATTATATGATGATGCTGGTGGTGGTGGTGGTGGTGGTGGTGGTGATGATGATGTAGATGATGATAATGAATGTGTGTGATACTGGGATGAACTACATCTTGCAGCCTTTTCTTAAATTTTATTTTAAGACAAAGTCTTGTTACGTTGCTATTATGGCTTGTGTCCAAATGACCCCCCCAAAGCCTCAAGCAGTTATAGTTTTTTGGGAAGTAGCTGAATCCAGAGTTTGTGACTGATTCATGGTTCAATACTAGGATTACAGGTACTGTGATTAAGGGTATATGACTGCTGTATCAGTCCACTGATTGTATTAGCACTGCCCTAACCCCACCAGTCTGAATAAGATAAAAGGAGCAGAAAGACGCTTGTTTCCCCTCTCTTGTTTGTCGCTTTTGCTGTCTTGTTCTGCCGTAAGTGTTGCCCCTCTGCCATGTGCCACCCTGCCTTGAAGCTAGCCAATTACAGACTGAAACTTCTACAAACCATGAGCTAAATAAATCTTTCCAACTTTATCTTTGGGGTTCAGAGGAGCCTCTCCTAATTCCCCTTAAGTTATTCTCTTTTCCCTCAAGTCACTTTAACTTCCTACCACTGCTTATTTTTCTACAGAGTATTCATCACCTGAAAGTTGATTATATAGGTATTCGTGAATATTTGTTTACTTGTTTGCTGTTCAAAACTCACTAGAATGTATAGTTCTTGTTCATAGCTGTATTCCCTGGGCCTAGAAAATATAAACATATGAATGCCAACTCCCTACTTCAAAGGGATGATGGAAGAATTAAGTGAAATAATGTGTACAAAGCCCTGATGCCTGTGCCTGGCATACATAGGAGTTCAATACATGCCAGTGATTACGATTATGTAACACATTCTCTCAGGCTGGGGGCTACTGCTGCAATACCTTTCATATGGAAGGTCACCCAAGGACCCTCTGGGCCACACCCTCATGGGGCTAGGTGTGCTGGGCCTCTAGCTCTAAGGGACCACAGTGCATCTCTTATCAGATGTTTGTGTTTAGACTCTGAAGGGGGCAAATAACTCTAGTTCTTTTGACAACATTTAAGGCTCTGCCACCATTTTATTATGTGAGCAAACATTTGATAGCTGGGAAGCCCATCCCTAATGACAGGTCATAGAATCTCACTGGCGTCTCCTTATCTTCCCTTCTTGTTTGCTCTTCTATTGAAACCTGCAAGGTCAGAAGCCGTTTTCTCCCTCCTCGACCTGAAATCTGAAAATTAGAGAAAGACTGATAGTGAGAAATAAAAGAGACTGGAGAGTAGAGGTAGGTGGAGGGAAGAAGAAGAGGCAAAGGGTATCAGAGGATCCTGACCAAACCCACAAGAATGTAGAAGGGTCAGAAACCTGTCTCCTCACTGAATTCATGGCTCAGGCCTGTTCTTACAAGCCCTCAAGAGCAACATGGACAGAGGAACTTCTGTAAGCCAGTGTTACAATCAGAGAACTCTACATGTATTGACCCATCTAATCCCACAGCTTCCATTTGATAGAGGAAGTAACTGAGACACAGAGAGAGCAACTTGGTCAAGAGCACAAGACTAAGGAGAAGATTTTTAACCTTGGGATAAGTAGAACAAGAACAGTAGGAAGAAAAGAACAGTAGAAAAAAAAGTACTGCGAGAGTACCCAGCAAGGGTTTGATCTCTGGCTCTCCACACTCTCCTAGTTCGGAAATCAGCTCACTTTAACCCTTGTAAAATGGACATAATGGTAACATCAGGGGTTAAGGTTGGGAAGGTTGGTGAATAAGATAATAATGCAGGAGTAGGCTGTGGCAGGGTTGGTGTGTGTGTGTGTGTGTGTGTGTGTGTGTGTGTGTGTGTGTTTGCAGCAGAATCTTTAGAAAACCAAGAACTAAGCCAAAATGCAGAACCTAGATGTTAACAAAAGTGAAAAGGAAAGGACAGAGGGGAACCGAAAGGGATCCCACCTCAAAGGAAAAAGTCGAGTAATAATGTTTCAGAGCAGTTAAGATGAACGAGGGCCTGGAAGCTCAGGCTACCCCACACAGATTGAGAGACTCCCCTCAGAAGGCGCTCCAGCCACTCGGGGGTTTTCAGAGTCTACGGTCCCTGGATCTTTTTCCTAGTTCTCTGAGATCCTTGTCATAATGGTAATGAGAAAGCATTTTGTAGTTGACAAGGCTCCCTCCCTGCTGGAAAAATTTGAGCAGAGACCATTTTCTCACATGCTTTGTAGCCCTATCACTCTGAGTAGATGAGCAGCATCAGCACAGCCCAGGAAATTTCTAAGAAGTGCAGATTTTTAGGTCCTCCCCAGACCTAAGAAACAGAATTGAACTTTCCTATGAGGATCACTGTAAGTGGTAGGACCATTAGAGTTTGGAAGGCATTGGTCTAGGGCACCCCTGGTCTTAGGGATCTTTGGAAGAGACCCTTAATTCCACAAGAGACAAGAACTTCTCCACCCCTTTGCAACCATAAGAAGTTCCCAAGTACCATACTCACTGGAAGAGGAGTACACCTTCAGGGTTCAGGTCAGCAAGTTAGAACTATTTTCAGGCCCCTAGCAACTCATTTCTCTCTTCCAAAGTGGCCAGGAAAGCCAGCTCCCAGGTTTTCCCAAGGTTACAGGTGCTTTTGGACCAACATGCAGAGCTGAGCAGCCATCAAGACTAGCTGAGTTAGGTGTCAGCTCCCTTGCAGAAGCTGAAATAAAGACTCATGTTCCTGTCCAGTGCACACAGCTGAGCTTTCTGCCCCTCTCTTTCTCTCTGCAGTGTCCATTGCAAGCCTGGTGATGTCCACATATCACTTACTCTGTGCACAGCAACGAGGACTCTATTTTCCACACCATCACCCTCTGGGCAGCTGTCACGGAAAAGCCCAGTGAACTGACAAACACCTGTGAGAGGTCTCGGTTACCTGACATCCTGGTGGCAACTCAGACAATCCACTCTTAAGAGACACAGCCTGAAGCCCAGCTTCCCTTCTATACAGTATTGTCACGACGCCTCTCCTGAGTCAGGGGCTCCTATTTGTCCTGGAGGTGGGCACCATGAAACTGCACAAGAGGAAGAGAACGCGGTAGAGTCTACCTTACGATCCTTCATCGAACAAACTGATGCAAAAACTTGAATCTGTTACTGAAACAAAATGAGGAGGACATGTGCTACTGAACTGAGCCAAACATGCTATAAATATCAACAGACTCCCTCTCCCCAACCCTATCCCAAATGATCTCACAATTTCTTTTAAAGAAGTAAATCTGTCCAATGGCTGTAAACTATAAACTGCTGTAATTAAGTGCAATTTCCCCTCTACATTAATCTTCCCCTGTCCTGTATATATAATACTAAAGCATCTATTAGTTTTCTTTGTAAAGGTCGAAGTTGAAATTTCAAAAGTGATCCCCTCCTCCTTTTCCCCAAGTGAGAATTGAAGCCCCTCACTCCTTCCTTGGACCTGGACACACATAAGGACAGCATACATTGGACTGACTGCCAGCTAGCTCCAGACTCCTGATGTTGAGACACCTCTGGATACCTAGAAGGGTAGAACGGAGCATCAGAATGACATCCTAGTTTCCTGTGGGAATAACAGTTCAGCCAGTGCACCCATAAGAAATCGTGGGGCAATGACACTGGCTGACAGCCAAAGACACAGTGACCATCTCAGGAAGCCTCCCATTAAAACTGTTTATTTTATCACTGCCAAGAGTCTCATATTTCTGTTTCTGACATCTCCCCACCCAAGAACCCCTGGCCTAGTCTCCTTGAGACTTCCCACTTACTAGGGTCACAATGGGTGTCCTCTGGAGTGTGGAAGGTGGGTGGCCTTCACTTGCCATCACATTCTGAGTCTTCAGGCTAACCCTCCTGCTACCTGAGTAAGGAAGAACTAATTCCCCAAGGCAGACTCCACAAGCCTACAGCTAGCTCACAAGGACAAAGTCACAGAGTCAATTCTTGATGACTTGTGATCATAGAAACTGATGAAAAGCAGAAAGAATGTGGGTAACTTTTTAAGCCTCATTTAAGCATTGATTCTAGCCTGTATTCCTATCCTGTCTTCTGTCTGTGAGGCCAGGCACTAGGAGAATGGGCTCTTGTGGATGTCACCACTTGGATTGGATTCTGTACAAATGGTTCAAAAGGTGAAAAGTCAAATACCTGGAGATTCTGCCAGCACAAACTTTGCTGGCAAAAATCCAGAGCTGATTCCAGAACACAAGAAAATATCCTGTCTTCTTTGCTGCCTCCTTTCTGGCATAGCTGGAGCTCCTGACCTGTGCCTTTTCCACTTCTAGATGGAACATTTCCCAAGGAGAATGTAGGCAAGGAAACTACACTGAAAGGCTATGAAAGATTTTTTAAAAAAAACTCAGTATGCAACCCTCAGTGAGTCAGGAAATTTTGCTGAGTGCCTTCTATATGTCCACAATAGAGAGATGGATAGATACGGCATAGTGTCCTCCTCTGGTTCCTGAGCTCTCCCAAACAATGTAATTTGGACCAAAGTGGTGAAGAGAAAATTCATGGTGGAGTTGGGAAGGAACTCGAGCAAGGCCATGCATTACCTGTGGAGAAAAGACAAGATCTCTTTTCACTAGTTGAGAGGATCACTAGTTTAAAAAGGGCGTCTCAAATTCCAAGAGGAAGAGAACAAAGACATCAAGCCCTAGCCTCAGTGGAGCCCTATATCTGGATCATACTGGTTTTGCCACAGCAAGCATGTGCATTTGGCAGTTTAAATCTTGCATTATTGCAGTAACCCCCCAAGGGCCCAGAAGGTTATATTGATACAAGAGGTCATTTGAGCAGAAGAGGAAAGGGAGAGAAGGGAGGAGAGGGAATTTCTCTTAACCAAGCCCTATTTAAATTAAGATATGTAGCAACTGAGGCCCTAGAAAAGCCCAGAGCTGCTTTTCCTTTCTTTCTTTCTTTCTTTCTTTCTTTCTTTCTTTCTTTCTTTCTTTCTTTCTTTCTTTCTCTTTTTGCTTTCTTTCTTTCTTTCTCTTGTTGTACTGAACTAAGGGCTTTGAGAACACTGAGTACTCCCCTACTGAACTACACTGCGAGTCCCACAACTCTTTCATAAAATCAGGGACTCATTTCCTCATTGGCTATAAGAGAGGGGTTGAGTACCATCCACTTTATGGGGGTCCTGATGGGAATTGTCCACTCTCAAGATTCTTTTGCAACTAAAAGCTATCATTTCTTCTTCCCAGATTCTTATGGACCAACATTTTTTTGGAACTGTATTTTTACACTGAGCCCATACTGACGAATGGGTTTGGATTTTATCAGGACTCACTGTTATGTTTTAGGGGGCAGACAGACTTTATTTTAACATCCATGGATAGGAAATGGATGAAATGAGTTTTCAGTAATGAAAACTTGTCTTAAATTGTATGTTCCATGGGGCTGGGGATTTAGCTCAGCGGCATAAGTACCTGCCTTGCAAGCAGGCAGTCATGAGTTCGATCTTCGGTACCGATAAAAAAAAAAAATTGTATGTTCCAAGGTTATGGGGTATTCTCTCAAAGATAATGCACCTTGTTTGCCTCTGAGTTCAAGTGGATAAGAATACAATACAGAAAGTTAGAGAATCTGAGCTCTCTGATAGTACTTTTTTAGAGCCAGAATGCCGTGATTAGAATCAACAATTCCACTTAGCCTCTCTTGTCCTTGTGCCCTGCTATGTAAAATCTGAATTTTAATGATCATAGCTACTTTTAAGGTTGTTTGACGAGGAAGAAAGAACACCTTAAATGCTTAGAACTATGCCTAAACACATGAGTAATGTGTATTAATGAATATTCTCCCAATCAAGAGTTTTTCTCATAGAGTCCTTTGGGTTGGATTGATATCTTCAGGTAACTTTACCACTTAGCAACTTGATGCTTGGTAAAGAAAACTGCCACTAAATTATCAAATGCCTTTGTTCATTTCTGCAGTATATGGAAAACCAAGTGGCAAGCCATGGCTGCTGGGAAGGTCAGGCCCAAGGAGAGGGAAAGGGTTTGATGGGGATAAGAAGGCCTGGTCTTCTTTGGGGAAAAAAGATAAAATGTGAACCGTAGGAGACCATGGAGAGCACTAAGAGGCTGGGACTAAAGGTGGTTTCCTAGTCCTGAAAAGCAAGGTGAGGATCACGGGAGAGGAATCTGGGGAGCCAGGAAAGATGAAAGTGAGGAAGAAGCAGGAGCTAACTTCTGTCCAAGGAAAAGCAGAAGCAGTGGGTCCCCTTCGCATTAGGAATTAATTCAAATGACACCCAAAAAGCACTGGGGCGGGGAAGTAGCTCAGTGGTCCAGCATTTGCCTAGCATTCTTGTTAGCCCTGATTTCAATCCCTAGCACTGAAAGAAAAACTAAAGCTGCTTTGGAAAATAAGCCATTATCCATAGTGGACTGTGCTGGACTGAACTAAGACAGATCCATAACTTCACGCTTCAAACACATCTCAACCACCTCATGCAGGCTGAATAGTTATGAGAAAATGCAATCAGCAGAAACAAATGACTGTAAGATGCCTCTTTTCCTCCTGCCAATTCTCTCTCCCTCTCCTTTCCTCTCCTGTCCTGAGTGCAGAGGTCATTCCAGCTAAGCAAATACTGAATTTCCTGCTGAGATTTATAACAGGACTATTTTATAAATGAATCTTTCAGGTGTGCAGGACTTTACACACACCTACATGAACTTCGTCCTGGAGATAGATGATAGATAGATAGATAGATAGATAGATAGATAGATAGATAGATAGACAATAGACAACATCACACTTTCTGAAGGAGATTATGCAAAACAAATACGGAGGGGGCAACATCTAAAGTAGGAATCCTGACAGCAGGTTTCATGCGGCCTATATGTGCATGTTTGTGCCAGTAGATCTTACGACACAAAAAATAAGACAACTCTTGCATGTTTTATTTTCTCACCAGATATATGCTGCTATATTCCCAAAAGGAAGGTTTCTTTCCTGTGCCCTAATTCTTGACAGCTTTAACAAAGCACTATATTAAATTATTCTGAATTATGAAAGAGGTAAAGAGACAAAGCTAATTTTTAAAAAGATCAAAAATAATCCAATATAAGGAAAGCATGTCTGATTCCCAAGCCATCACAAGAATTTTTGTTTACACTTTTGCTTTTGGGAATATGTACTCCAAAATTATCTTTCTACTTCATTTATTCATGATGGTGCAGCACGCTAGACACCACCATTCTAGACATGAAGGACACAACAGTGAACCAAAACAGGTAAAAGCCTGACCTTCATGAAGCTTGCATTCCAGGCAAAGAGACAAACAGTAAAAAATGTGTGGCTGAGTATGTGTATCTGTGCATGTCAGATAATGGGAAAAATAACTCTAACAGGCCAAGAGGATGGTGGGATGGTGTAACCATTTTAAACAGGATGACCGAGGAGGAAGAGTGTGGTCCCTGAGAGAGTGACATAAAAGAGCCACGAGGTTGACCAGTGAATGACAAGAACATCCGGGGAAGATTATTCCAGGTAGAAAGAACATCAGTACAAAGATCCTGAGGCAAGCACAGAAGGCAGAGTAGTTTGACTAAAAGGGAAAGTAGTGGTCAGAGAGGTAAGCAGAGTAAAGAGGGCAGAGGACCAGTGACAAATGGTATTAGGCCTTGCTGTTATTTTTTAGGATTTTTGCAAGTTGTGGTAAAGACTTTGGCTTTTATTCTGCATGACCTAGAAACCATCAGGGATTTTTTTTTGTACTGGGGATCAAACTCATGACTGTGCACTTCCAAGGCAGGTGCTTATGCCACTGAGCTAAATTCCTGGCTCCACCATCAGGGAATTTTGAGGCAAGCCAGGACACGACCTGATATTTTTAAGGGGTCCTGCCAACTGTTGAGCTGGGATAAAGTAAGGGGATTGCCAAGAATGAGAGCAAAGAGCCCATAAGGAAGCCATTGCTGCTATCCAAGCATGAGACTGTGTCTGTTTGGTTCATCTGGCTGCGGATGCTTTTCAAAGATAGAGAGAACATTTGAAGATACCAAGATTTCCCAATGGTTTGGATATGTTGTATGAGAGACAGAAGCAACAGAAATAATTCCAAGGCCGGCTCCTAAACAAAACAGGAAATAGAAAAGGGTGTTGAAGGATATGAAACACAGCATTACCTAAGCACAGGCTCTATAACATGGTTATTCTTTTTTTTTTTTTTTTTGTCTTTTTCGTTTTTTTTGTTTTGTTTTTGTTTTTGTTTTTTATCGGTACCAGGGATCGAACTCACGACTGCCTGCTTGCAAGGCAGGCGCTTATGCTGCTGAGCTAAATCCCCAGCACCAACATGGTTATTCTTTATAGTGGCACCTTAGGAAGCATCTTGGGAGTGTGTCATGATGTGATGTCTGACATCATGATGCCCATAACGTGATGTCTAGTTGCTCAGAAAGATAACATTCACTCATTCAACAAATGTTTGCTGAACCTTTCTATACACCACATAGTGTTTTAGGAATGAAGAGAGAAGCAGTTTTTAAAAGTTTTCCATCTGAAAAAATAAAAAAAAAGCTCACCATCTCCATGGAGTTTAAATACATTCAATTAGAAGGGAGCCAATGATAACTGAACAAGTAATATATTAAACATGGACTAAAGAAATATGTAAGGTGTTAATATATATTAGAAGAAAAAACAGACAAAGAAAAGACGAAAATGTGGGGGGTTTTTTG